CGAGCATCAAACTGTACAAGCAGGAAAAACTTGGCCGCATCAAGTTAAAGATTGGCTTATTGAGGACCAAAAAAAGAAAAAGGGGGAAAAAAAAGGGAGGCTCTTCTCCCTCCCCACAAAAGCAAAAAAAAAAAAAAAGTGTACCGAGTACTCGAGTGCTGTAGAGTACGGTACTCGAGTACCGTACTATACCGTACGGCCCTCGTGGCTGGAAAGAAGAAGCAGAAAAAAAAAGAAATGAAAGCCCATTTATTTTAGTCAAAAAGTTAAAAACGCAAAGGAGAAGTAAATCTGTCCATCCGGATTCGAAGGCGCTAAGGGGAAGTGGAACTGGGGTTCCGCAGAATTGCACTACTGTACCGGTCATGTAGACTTCACGGGAAAGCCAAGACCTGGAGAAATGGTTGACGATGAGACACGGGATCTCGCAGGGAGAAGGAGAGGGGGGAGTCGCCTCCTCTCCTACCGGTGCCCTATGGTAACGGACTGGAATGTACCGTACTACTCCTACTCGTAAGGTGCAGAGTGCCCACGGTTGAGGGGGGGCGGTGGGTTGATGGGCTAGGAACAGATGTCGACAAGCTCTATTCCACTAGCGTTTTTCCCCACAAGTAGGACCCACAGTGATCGTAGGGGATACCTTTCTCGCACCAGCATCTTCTGACACGGCACCGGCGCATGATCATGAGGGCGTTGGGGTAGGGACTGCAACTTGCTCTAGCTGCTGCGGTGGGACATTCCTGCTCGTAAAAAGCGGACCCTTTGGGAGCACGAGTGCGGTGATCAGAAGTTCACTGTACTCATACTGATACTAGCACCTCGAACACTCTATTCACCTTTTCCGCGTGCTGGTGCCGCCACCATAGCAATGGAACCCCCCCCCCCCCCCACGCGGTATGTGCTCGTCCCCTACGTATTATGCGCGGTACTCGAGTACCGGTGTTCACCGTATTCCAAACCCTACCTCCGGTAATGGAGATCTTAGCAATTGTTAATACACCACGAACCGAGGGATACATGTACTGGGGGGGTATGGAAGCGAGAAGGGAAAAACAAAGGAGGAAAAACGAAAGCCCCATGATATCGGTACTCATAGAGGTAGAATAGGCCGGCACGCTGCGCTACACTATGATAGGGGGAACAGCACCGACACCCGGTATCGTGATCATCACCATCGCGAGTGGCGGCAAAAAAGTAAACAAGAGAAACACAAAGAGGGAGAGACGGTGCACAAGGACCCGTTTGGGTTTGGCCCTCGTCAATGCTTACTGCCCCTCTGTTCACCTTTGTACCCTCGCTCGGCGGACTGAAGAGGAAACATGCCTAGCCTGTCCTAACCGGTGCGCACTTCTCACTCATTCCGAGAACATCAGACGGTGGAAAGTGGGAAAAAGCAAGACGGGTCTCACAGGTACTCGAGTACGAGTACTCTACATGGAAAAAAGTCACTTGTGGGTGCAGGAAGGGGTTTAGACTGGAATATGCGGCCAATTGACGCAAGCCGGATGCCAGACAAGCTAAGCCCTTTCGAAGCTCGGTATGGCCAGGTGAGCAGTCGCCGCTGATTGGCGGGAGAAAAGGGGAAAAAGGCGGAAGGAGCTAATGAGTGGAGCAAAAAAGAAATACGGCAAAAATGTTTGGACTCGAGGGAAAAAAAGCCCACGGTCCCCATCAGATATCACTTTACGCCCATAGAGCTGAATCAGAGCCAAAAAGAAAAACACGAAAGGGAAGGAAGAGGAAAAAAAAAAAAGCTTGGTACGGTATAATACAGGTATGTGCCATCTCACAAAGGGAGAATTGCGGAATTCCGTTTCCACTTTGACTCCTGCATTCAGTAAGCGGAGGACCAGACACGGGTCGTCTCAAGGACTGAACAACGCGGAAAGCCTCACCAGAATTTACGAATCAGAAAGGCGACTGACAGGCCGATCGTGGCATCGACCAACGGTTTTGTAACCATTCTCGAGTCCACTTCGCCGCAATGAGCAAGTCATCCATCGTGGCCTTGAGCACAGTGTCTCAGAAGCCTGAAAGATACGGTAATGCAGGGTTCAAGAATACAGTTACTCGCGGTTAGCGATGGCAATTTTTACAATACTGTACAGTACAATAAGAGGAAGGGGGCGAGGGGGATGGAGGGAGGGAGAGGGAGGGGAAGGGGGTACGGTAGGGGGGTGGCGGTTCGCAATCGCCTGTGCGTACCGGTACCGCAGCGATGAACCCTCCAAGAGCATCGTGAAAGGTTCAACACCACGACCGAAACCTTGTCCCTCCTTTTGCGGGGAATGCAATCTGTGTCTCTCTCCCGTGATATTGGCGTCATAGTGTCCGGGGGCCTTTTCATTCACTTGTTTCCTACCGGTATTATTCTCCTCCTCCTCCTCCCGGCTAGCTTTGTCTGGCCTGGCTATTTACCTTGCTTTTCCACTACTTTTTCCCGTACCGGCAATGCTGCTGCGAAGCAGGTGCCTGGATGGATAGGTCGGCTAGAGCGGGTTTCCGCTCATTTGTTTCGCTACGTAAGTGCACCTGCGGGCGCGCCCCGTTGTATTCACGGTGGACGGGCTCGGTCAGAGTTCGCGGACAAATGTTTAAAAATAAAAGCAAGGTGGTTGAAGCGGTGGAGCACAGTTTGAGCGGCATACGGTATGTGCACTGTACAGTCCGGTGCAGACCTGTGCACGATACCGGTATGTGTTGGATTTGGGAAACAGATGTGGGGAGGAGGAGGAAGGGGGTAAAAAAAAAAAATACACTGCTTGTAAACAACTTTGAAATGAAGCGGAAAACTCTCATCGTCGTTGTCGCCCAAGGTAGTCTCAACTTGGCAATAATAATGGTGAGAAAAACCATCACGAAGCCACTTGCCACTGGTCACAGTAGCATGCGCGAGTTCATCGATACCAGATTTTATTTCTTCTTTCTGTTTTATCTTTATGAGCAGTCGCAAATGATTGGTAGTCAGCTGGCGGCTTCGTACCCATTTGCTTGGGGTTGCTCGGGTGGTGTCCGGCACAATGGCTGGATTCCTAATGGCAATTGGTGGCAGCTAGCGGGTTAGTAATGACAGACTTATGTAACGCATAGTAATAACCTCGGTGGTCTGCGTGAAAACTCGACATTCTTGACCGTTTTCTCCGCATAGGGAAGTGGGGCAGGCACATTTGCTCACCAAACACCTCTCTGGCATCATCGCCAATGAACCAGGCTGCGGGCCGTGGTCCGTGAAGGTGGAGGAGGGCCGGAGGGTATGTAAGAGTACCGGTACTGATATGATACCTGGTCAAGCTTCAATCACCGTGTTTCTGTTGAGCTGCTGGGGTGAATGGTTCAAAAATGATTACTCTTGCCCTTGCACGGAGGCATTGCTCCCTTTTTTCCCATTTGAAATCACTGCAATTCCTAGCACTCACTACAGTGAAAAAGGAAAGAAATGGATTGTGTGTACGAGTACCGGTAAGGACAAAGAGGGAAATAGAATATGAAGAGATGTTTCTGGTCAGAGAAATTGCGTGCCATGGAGTCATGGAGGGGGGGGTCCACAGTGGATTATTGGAGCAGGGCACATCGACGGGAACTTTGTAATACCGGACGCACATCAATCCTCATCCAGGTCACGACTAGGTACATTACAGAACGGTACAGGCTTTGGACGGGGGCATTCAGTGGTGGTAGGGAGCTATGCATCAGAGAGCATTTCTGGTTAGCAGGATTTTCCTGCACGGGGCATGGGGAGACTGAGGAAAGGGGAGCTGGGGTGAAGATTGGAATATCATAGGTTTTTTTCTTTTTTTCTTTTCTTTTCGAGATTTGCGCTGGAGACGACGAAAGAGAGAGCAAGCATGAGGCCACTTGATCCTTGCGGCGTGCCTGCACACTTCTCACCACCTCTCTCACTCACTCGACATTCACTCACTCACTTGCTCTCACTCACACTCACACACCATCATACCGGTACAGTACTCGTACGAGTACAGGTACAGTACAAGGTGCGTGTGGAGAGCCAGTGTGAGTGTGGTGGACTTTTCTTGGCAAGTGGGTGCATGGGGGAAGTTGTCTCTCCCCCCGTCTGTGCTTGTGTGCTTGGTTCTTGTGGCCAATCGCACAGTAACCGCGCATGCTTCAGAGTCGATAGGCCAGCAGGCAGCTGGCTTCGATCTTTCTTGGCTGCGCCCTTGCCCACTCCTCCCTCCAAAGCACGCAAAAGTGGAAAAAGCAAAGAGAGAAGGAAAAAAAAAAAAACTGTCGTCCACCCTCACAACCTCCCACTCCCTCCCTCCCTCCCTCCCTCACCCCCCCTTCAACCCTTCCCTCCCACACCTTTCCAAATACCCCTGCTACTCGTGCACCCCCTCAAGCACACAATCAATCACCGCCTCTCTCGCACACCCAAAGCACATCTCCTCTTTAAATATATCCCCGGCCTTCTCCTCCCAAAAAGGCACCCCTCTAGCCTTCCCTCCTTCACTCCAAACCTCCCCCCACAACAGCATCATCACTGCTACCAACTATCTTCGAGTCAGCATCACTGAGTCCAAAGTCCTCTCATTCATTCATCTTCGTCGATTTCGAGTACTGTCTCGTCCTGCTCCTACGCACTAAAAACAACGGCTTAATTGAACATTCAAACCCCCAACTCCCACCACCACCACCACCACCGCCATCATCATCACTCCTGCCACTACGTGACCCAAATTCGTAAAAAACAGAAGCAGAACAAGAACAAAAGAACGAAGCAACTATCTATTTTTTTTTTATTTAAAAAAAAAAACCACTCACTTCTTTCCCCCGCTGTCGAACAATCAAACATTACAATTGCAATGGATTGGTCCCCGGATTACTGTCTCTCTTGCGATCGTCAGATCTCCCAATCTGGCCATGGAGCTTACTGCTCGCAATCCTGCCGCTTGGCAGATTTAGAGCGTGCTTCTTGCCGCTCTGGCTCATCATCACCACAAGCCGGGGCTTCATCCTCACCTTCGTGGTCGGGGCCAAACATGGGCTCTGGTGCTGGTTTCTACCTCCCTCCTCCACTCAACTTCTCTGCCATGTCCGGCAGGCAGACTAGCTCGGCAGCTTCGTCGCCGACAACCAGAAGCCCTCTGTCATCCACTCCCCCCTCACACTACTCATCGTCTCCCTACTCTCCCAGCAGCAACCGCAATTCCGGTCTCTACACCTCGCCTTCCAGAACCTCCTTGTCATCTCTCCAAGGTTTCAACACCCAGGAACCGGCCGTTCTATCCGATAAGGTTACGAAGGAGCTCAGGGAGTACGCGAGTTCGTTTGACCATGTGAGGGATTGGAAGCGAAGGATGACGGTTGTATAAATTTATGGGATTCGGCTCGGTGTTGGGGAGCACTCGGGCATTTTCTCGGTCGTGGACGAACAGCTATAAAGAAGCGACTTCGATTCTCCTGGATATATTTACTTTTATGATTTACGGTGGCCCCGTCACATTACAACTCATCTCAAACAATTTTCCTTTTGTCTGCGGGGCCTTTTTTTCCTCATCAATTCGGCGGGTGTGGAGCAACTATTTTTCGTCATTGCATCCGCATTGCAGCGTTCTGGCCTGACCATCCTTCGGCTTGTCAACTCGAGATTTTATGTTGGCATTCGGGAGTTTGGGATCCGGATACGTCACTATACCGAATCATAGGGTTGCGTCTGTTCTCCTTCTTTCTTCTCTCTTCTACTTTATGCATATTTGGGAGTTTTTTTATCTGTTTATTTCATTTTTCCAAAAAAAAAAGGGTATCGTCATGCTTCTGGGTTCGGGTTTCTGAGGAAATTTGTGCGTATGGGGTGACTACTGGGGCGTCTATTTCATTTGATCACTGCGGAAGTGTTTGACATGATCTTTTTTGGGGGGGTATCTGGGTGAAAGAAAAATTTATGGTTTGTACTTTTTTCTTTCTTTCTCTTCTCGACCAAATATTTTGTTTTTTTCACTCGGGCGTCTCTGAGGAAAATTTTGTCAGCTCACATTTCCATCTTTCATTGGTACTTAGCTTTTTATCCTTTCCACACATGGTGGGCCCCCGTTGGCCCACCAAGTTGTATATGGATGGATTTCCGTGTTGAAATATTTTGGGGCTGTATGCAAGTTTATGGATATCGGGTTGGACGGGTTTGTTTGAATATCGAATTGTAACTAGCTAGACTTTCCTTTCTTTTTCTTCCCTTACTTCTATTCGTGTGTTACTACTACGGAGGTGTTTATCTGGAAGGGGGTGGAGAGTATACTTTTTTTCTATTTTTTTTTTGGACGTTTTTTTTTCTTTTTTTTCTTTTGGGTGGTTCAATTCGCTGGCAACGTGCCCAGTCACAGGTAGTCCATGATAGTATTGAAAGGGGGGAGGGGAAAAAGGGGGCTACGAGAATAATAAAGATTGATCACCACAAGAATTAGAAGAAGAAAGTTTTTCCTTCTGTTCAATTTTGATTCAGTCCAGTCATATCCACCTACGTGGGTGTTACCCATATTATGCGATTTTTTTTTTCTTCCCCAGCAAACTCACTCACGCACTCACCACTCTACAGCATGCATCAAAAGGAACAGGGCGGAAAAAGAAAAAGAAAAAGAAAACCGATTAACAACAACATTCACAATGCCGGTACGATACAGTTTTATCAAGGCCATGGTTAGGAAAGTTCCCCCCCTCCTCCTCCCCGGACGCCCTCCATCCCTCAAGCACACACTCGGATCATTCGTTACGGAAGCGGTTTCACCCGCCCTCCGATTACGGTACTTCTCTTTCTCTCTCTTTCTCTCTCTCTTCTTCTTTTCTTTTCTTTTCCACCCCTTCCGTGCCTGTTACCGCGGGCAACTTCCATGTCCATGTCCATGTATTATATATCTCGGGCTGGGCATGGCACGGCATGGCATGGCAGGGTGGGTAGGGCATGGCGGGGAAAAAAGGGTTATCATCTAGCAAGGTCTTGCCCCCCCCCTTCGATTGCTACCGTACCGTACGGCACAATACACACCACACGCGGAACAGTCAGATTACTCACTGCACTCTACAACTACGGTTCGGCACCACATGGAAGAAAAAAAAAGACAGATTGTGCGTGCGTCCGCGTGTGGGTTGTTTGTTCGTGCCTGTTTTGTTTTTGTTGGGGATGTGTGTGTTATAATATTTATGTGTGTATGGAAGGAGGGAAGGAAAGCTTGAAGGCGGAGCGTGAGGGAGGGAAGGAGGGGGGAGGGTTCGGGGGGTGTTCTGATATCATACCATGCTGACATACATAGGTGCACTCGTCGCTGTGCTTGTATCTATCAGAATGAAAGAATGGTACGGTACAAGTGGTTCTCTCTCTCTCTCTCTCTTGGGTACTCGAGTAGATGGATATCCCCGGTTTAGTAAGTAATACTACAATAATACGACTTTACTTGTCCGTCCCCCCCTTTTTTTTCTTTTGAAACGGATTGTACGTACAGTACAAGTACTTTGCAGGCGGCAATCTGCATTGTATTGTATCGGTACATACAGGAACTAATTGTACTAGTACAGTACGAGTACATTATATGGGGAGTGGTAAACCGTGCTCGGCGCGGCATGGGCGCTAAAGGTGTTGTGTTTGTATAGGGTTCATTGACGGACACGGTAGACTAAGAGTTTTTTCTTGGAGATCTGGTTGCCCGCCTGCTGTACTGTATTGTACGAGTACTCTACTCGGGTACATACGCTGCGGCAGAAGACTATACATCAAGAATACAGATTCTGGTATTAATTGCCCCCGAGTCAAAAGGGAAGGAATGAGGTGGAAGGGAGGGAAAGAGAAAGAAAGAATGGTTCTTTTTTTTTTTTTCTTTTTTTCTTTTTTTCTTTTGCAGGTTTCACGACTTCAAGTCGGACAGAATAGAATGGAAAATAGAATAGGCTATTTCATTCACTGTATGACATCGGGAATTAATACATGGCATAATTCATTCGTTCGTTTCGTTCAGTAATACCACATCCACAGCACAAGAATCGAAACATCATATCATGCCCAGCGGAACATTTTTTTTTTTCTCTTTCACGCCGCTGACCGGCATACAGGGGCAAGGCAATCTCATAGTATCGCAATTACCTTTTTTTTTTTTTTTTTTGCCCGTGTGGTGGTTCGCCGAGATTGATTGATTGATTAATTATCACCAGAGAGTTGAGGGAAGCCAGGGGAAGAGGAAGAAGGTTAAGGTTCATCCCATCGCTAGCGCAACCTAACCAGACGAACGGCGCTGGTACTGTACAAGTACAGGTGGGGGTATGTACTAGTACTTGTATGGCAGGCACGCTTTGTATCATACGGAAAGAGGCATGTTGAAATAGGAAAGAAAAGAAAAGAAAAGAAAAAAAATGGGAGAGAGAGATCTGAGACATGTTACTGGGATCGGGGGTTATTCCCTTTCCTTTCCTTTCCTTTCCTTTCCTTTCCCTTTCTTCGCTACGGTGGTGGTGATAACTCGTGGGCAAGTCTGGGATAATAATAATATCACCATGATAATATATTATCATACCGATCCTGGCACAATACTTGCCCTTGCGGCTGTGAAAGTTGAAGGCTGTTGAGAGGTTGGTTGGTTGGTTGGTGGTGGAATTCCTTCCTTCCTTCCTTCCTTCCTTCCTTCCCAGCATTGCCTGGTCCCGCTCACGTCTCCCATTGCGATCGTTGTGTGCTTTGGATTCTCGCTGAGGATGTGTCTTGGAGGTCATCTACCGGTACCGGTATACAGTATACATGCTGTACTAGTGCTCGAGCACGGTACAGGCACGGTACTGTCGCACCTGCCGTATGGTCTCATGCTTGTACCTGAACTCGAACCTGTACTGTACTGTACTGTACCTGTCCGCATGAATTCTATTTATTTTTTATTTTTTTATTTTTTTTGAACGAGATTTGGACATGGATTCATCTTCCCCCCCGCGATCGATTCACGTGCCGCACTTTCTTGGCAATCTATGATAAATCAATCGATCAATCAATGGATGACATGGCGCACCTTGTGTCTTTCTGTTTCCTTCCCCCCCCCCCCTTCTCGCCCATTTGCGGCTGGGGGGGAGAAGAGTGCCTTTCCCTTTTTTTTTCTTTTTTCTTCACCTTCCTTTTCTTCACCAGCACGGACTGAATTTTGCAAAAGTGGAGGAGGGAGGAGGGAGGGAGAGTGAGCGTTGCCTTTTGAGCCTCCCTTTATGGGATGTGAAGGGATGGGATGGGATGAACGCTGATTGACATTGATTGATTGACCTGGCCGTCCATGGTACCGTATCGTACCGCACGTTACGTTGCGGTACGGCTCGGATGTACTACTACCAGTATGATATAATGGGAAAAATGGGAAAATGGGTGAAAAGGGGACTAGCCTGGTCAGGCTGCAACTCTGGACTTTTTTTTTCTTTTTTTCTTTTTTTTCCTTCTTGCACGGCCAGATTCCAACTCGAGCTCATCTAGATGTGGCCAATTAAGCAAGGTACAGTTACCGTATACTGTTATCGTACCGTACTGTACCTGCACGGTGTCATGCCTCGATGGGTTTGGAACCTCTTGCGTATGGCGGTGCGCAGTGCTGGTACTCCTTTAATCTTGGTGGGGGCAAGCTACGAGTACGGTGACTGCGATTACGATAGCCTACAGTACGGTCTGAGTACTTGCAAGTGCTAGTATCATACCGGTACCGCCCGCCCAAGCAAAGCAAGAGTCACCGGAAGGATTGACGCGGGCAATCGAATACAATGCCAAACCGCACTGCCTGTCTCAGACCGGCTACTTCCCGTATCATATTCGAGTACGGTATGGTACAGTACCCGTACAGTACTAGTGCTCGTACTTTACTTGTATACCGGTACGGCACCCGAAGTCACTCTCCGAGACTCATCCCCCCCCCGTACCTGGTAGGGCGGCTTTTTCCTTTTTTTCTTCTCCTTCTTTTCTTTTCCTTTCAGACAGGGCGCGGTATGGTACCGGTATGGTACAATATGATACGGCATTGGTACGCGCGGTCCGGTGGATACTCTCCCTTCGCACACTGCTTCCGCCTGTTGGTTCGCTGATTCGGCGGTAGGGTATCAGATTTCGCGGCTTATCATTATCATCTCTGTCCGGTAAGTCACTCCCTTCCCCGAAACATGCCCCCATCCAACCAACCGATCCACAGAAACGCCCAGAAACCGCCGATATGGGCCTAGGTATCCGAGCCGATGATGATGATGATGAGCCCCGTGGGCTTGATCCCTCGTTTGTTTGTCTTTGTCTTTGTTTTGTCCGTGAGTACCTTCCCGAATTCGTCGCTGCCGGCACCCCGTCCGCACCCCCGTTGCGCTTTCTTTTCCCTTGATT